TCGCCGGCATCGTAGTCGGCATCGTCAGTGAGTATCGCCATTCTTAGCACCACACAACAACTCGCCAAAGCGACAAGTGAAGCCGATCCTTTGACCAAACTTGTGCTAAACAATTGTGGTATCTCCCCTTTTGCCATGGGTTATTCGCGTTTCCGGTATCATCCTATCATGCTTTCACTATTACAATTTTTACCGTGTTTATTTAGATATTGTGGTATGCTCCTTTGAGCGACATGACACCTTCACACCAACTGTCGTTCTCACCCCTAACCCCCCTTCATTCTTGTGCAGGGAATGTTGATCAGAGTCTGCTTTATTATTATGCAGTCCTCTTCCCTAGTCTAATCTCAGTCTCTCTCTTGCTCTGTAAAATCCGTCTGCTCTACCCCTTGTTCACCTATTTCACTCGACTCCTGTCACCACACCTGTCCTACTCGAAGCAATATTCGCCCTCACCTGCGTCTTGGTGACTAATTCGAGGCTCAAGCCTCTGAGTGTCATCATGACCCCTTTACTACATGGACCACGTCTCTGGTACAACCGACCTACTGTCAGCCAACTAGCTCCGGTCCCCGCCGTGTTTATCTTTTTTTGTCCCTAATACCAAGTCTATGACTTGCTATGTCCTAGTCTCTTGTGTGCCAACTCACAAACGTTGTGGTTCAACATTGAACCTAACACCCAGACGCGGGTGAGGGCGAATATCGCTTCGAGTAGGACAGATGTGGTGACAGGAGTCGAGTGAAATAGGTGAATAAGAGGTAGAGCAGACGGATTTTACGGAGCAAGAGAGAAACTAAGATAAGATTAAGAAAGAGGACTGCATAATAATAATAAAGCAGACTCTGATCAACATTCCCTGCACAAAGATGAATGGGGGTGGGGGGTGAGAACGACAGTTGGAGTGTGAAGATGTCCTGTCGCTCAAAGGAGCACACCACAATATCTAAATAAAAACGGTAAAATTGTAATGGGAGGGCATGATAGGATGATACCGGAAACGCGAATAACCCAGGGCAGAAGGGGAGATACCACAATTGTTTAGCACAAGTTTGGTCAGAGGATCG